AGGCTTATGCTGTAGGAATCAAACCAGGGGGCTGGCACCTCCGCATCTGTAGTTCTAAGTTGGTCAAAGGGTCCTGGTGTGATGGTGCCCGGTGCCACATTGGCTGATGTTAGAAATCATGTGGTATTTGCGGTTTATCAAAAATCCGTCAAGCTTGGAGATGAGCTCCTCTTGCTTCAGCCAGGAGACGAATTGCCCTTGTCCCCCTATTAGTGGAGGGTAGTAGGTTTGAGACATTTAGGAAGAGATGGATATAGTTGAAGAAAAATCTAAGGATATAATAAAATTTACTTTTACAGAATCTTTCAGTAGATGAAATCTCACAGTTGGTGGTTTCTTCACCGTGTGGTTCAATGTCCCTATTTGTAAGAACAAATAACTTTTATTTTTAAGAATTATTTTATTTTACTTTATTTATTGACTTTCATTTTTATTTGACGAGAGAGGGACAGAGCAAGAGAAAGAGAGAGAGTAAGAAAGCAAGCCACCAGGTCTAGGACTCAAACCGTGGTCAGCCATGTGGGAGTCCAGCACCCTTAACCACCATGCTACCTGCTGACCTCAAGAAATAACTTTGAAGGAAAAATGGTATTAGCTTAGAATATGAAGCATATCTCCCCGATTGCAGAAAACTAACTCAGAAAAATCTGGCGAGATTAAGCAGAAATGGCCAAACACGTAGTGGTGTTCCGTGGACTCAGTCGGCCTGGTCCCAGTGTCAGAAGCAAGCATAACCATTGCTGTGTCCTCAGCCCACAGGGCTGCGTCCCTGGAAGCCGTGGGCTATGCCGTTGATACTTTGAAAGCCAAGGTACTATATGGAAAAAGGAAATGGACAAAGGGTCTTCCTAGTCTTGGAAAAGAAACAGTGCATGCTTCTGGGCAACCCACGATCAGTCACCGACATTTTCAGAGTACTACGTCTTAAATTTGGTAAACATTTTATCGTCGATGACATGTTGGATTTTCTTCTCCACAAACTGAGATAGTTTACTGAAGCACAGTCTTACACCGGTGGAATGAAAGTAAGATAGATGGTTTGTAGGTAGGTGGGTAGGTAGGTAGGAAGGTAGGAAGGTAGGATAAGGCGTTCTTTAGGCTCTGGAGCTAGAGAAAGGACCTTAGGGAAGAAGTGAGGTCATTTCAACATGAGGAAAGAGGTCTGTGGTGGACATGTGCTTCCATGACTGATCTGTAATTGTACTTAACTCCCACTGAGGTGTGACCCCTCCTCACCAACATCACTTCTCAGGGAGAGCTTCCCTTATGCCGCATCATGCATGCTCCATGATGACATCATTAGATGCATGGTGGCAATGTTGACAAAACCGAAAGTATAAAAAGTCAGTATCAGAGGCCAGCAGGTAGCATGGTGGTTGAAGCACTGGACTCCCACATAGCTGATCACAGTTCGAGTCTCGAACCTGGCGGCTTGCTTTGTCACTCTCTCTTTCTCTCTCTCTCTCTCTGGTCAAAATGGAAGAATAATGATAATAAATAAAAAATTAAAAAGAAATAAATCTTTTTTTTTTTTGAGAGGTTTTCGCTACAGGGCGCGGCGCGTGTGCTCGCCAGACAGAGAGAGACAGAAAGCGAGAAATTACCCCCTAGGGGCGATGGTCACGCCGCAATCTCTTCTCCATTCTCCTCTCGGGATCTTGGGCACGCACGCACATGCGCCCGGTGTGAGTTTTAAGCCACTGGGTCGGGGACGTGAACTGCGGTCGACTACATGGGAGTCCAGCGACATAGCCATTACGCTAACTGCTGGTTCCCATATTTATTAATTTATTCTTAATTTGAGCAGAGAAAGACACAGAGAGAGATAGAGAGGGAAACTGAGAAAGCAAGCCACAAGGTCCGGGACTCGAACAATGGTCGGCCACATGGGAGTGTCCAGCACCTTAGCCACCACACCACCTGCTGGTCCCCACAATCATGTAGTTTTTAATTGATCAATCAGTATACTACCTTGATAGATTGACTTTTTTTTTTTTTAAGAATTATTTTATTGAACTTTATTTATTTATTTAAATTTGACCAGAGAGGGACAGAGAGAAAGTGCAAGGGAGAGAGAGAGGGAAGTTGAGAAAGTTGAGAAAGCAAGCTGCCAGGTCCAGGACTCAAACCATGGTTGGCCATGTGGGAATCCAGCACCTTTAACCACCATGCCACCTGCTGGCCCCGATGGATTGACTTTTAAGTCCATAGTTTTGGGTTTCTGAAATTTTTTTCCTGTTTTCTTGACATATTATTGACAAATAAAAGTTGTTTGTATTTATGGTAAAAAAAAAATAATTCAAACCAGGATGCCCTGATGGTCAGCCCTCTGGTCGACTACACTGATGTCCCGTACGTGACCGTGAGAACTGGTAAGATGGGAAGCCAGTTAATTTCTTGGCGCTCATTTAGCTTGAAATAACATGAAGACAGACTTTAAAAATTTTTTTTAAGAATTATTTTATTTAACTTTATTTTTATTTTGACCAGAGAGGGACAGAGTGAAAGAGGGAAAGTGAGAAAGGAAGCTGCCAGGCCCAGGACTCGAACCACAGTCAGCCATGTGGGAGTCCAGTGCCCTTAACCACTGTACCACCTGCCGGCACCTGACATTTTTTCAGTAACTGAATACAGAGAATGTTTGTTTGTTTATTTATTTATTTAAAGAGATTTTTGCTATAGGGCATTTGCACTCGCTGAGAGACAGAGAGACAGAAAGCAAGGAATCATTCCCCGGGGGATGGCCATGTGGCAGTCCCTTCTGCATTCTCTTCTTGGGATTTTGGGCTCACATGCACACCTACCTGGTGTGCATTTCAAGCTGCCAGGTCCAGGACTTGAACCACAGCCAGCCACGTGGAATTCCAGCACCTTAACCACCACACCACCTGCTGGTCTTGAGAATGTTTCCTACTGAGGAGGAGACCTAAGGCAGTAAACAGGGCTCGCTCTTTGCCCAACGTCAGTAGCATTGTCTCTGCTTCTCTCTCAGATCAAGCACTGCGCCTAGCAGAAATTTTACTACCTCTCCAAAATCACCAGCAAGTCCCTACTCCTCGGTGTCTGCCTCTCCCGTTGCTAATGGTGATAGCTCTAACACCTCTGGGATGCACAGCTCCGGTGTCAGCAGGGGGTAAGAGCAGGTCCTTGCACTTCCGCTGCTTGTCCCTCTGAGGCCTTCCCCAGGCTGTACCTGAGCACTCCTCCACCGTGACAGTGACACTGAGCAGAGTGGTTGGAGCTCCCTGTGGGCACGTGCTGGGTGTGGCTTTCGCTCCATTTCACCCCTACCATGGAGTGTGCCTCCTGGTTCTGGCTGTCGTTGCTTGTCCTGCGAGCTGGTGTTCTCCCTTCAGCCTGGGCCACTGGTGGTCTGGGAGTCACTGTCTTTGTCTGTGAAGTGATGGGCTGGCCAGGTGGCAGGGCAGCTGTGAGGGGACGTTGTCAGCTGGGGAGGGCCCTGCCTGGTTCCCCTCTGCATGGCCGTGACCCTTCCTCCAGCATGTCAGGAGCATGTGCCACATGGCGTGGACAGGGTAGAAGAGAGGCCTGCGGCCTGAACACCAAGTCTCAGTGGGAGCTGGGGTGGCCTGGTGGGCTGGGGCAGGTGCCTGCTCTTGACCTTGTAATGAAGTCATCTGGCAGGCAGCCGTCTGGAGGGGCATAAAATGAGTGTTTTCAAAAGCCTGAGGAGGGAAATCCAGACAGCATATCTCCCCTATGGTTGTGCTTCCCACCCGCCCGCGTGTCAGGTCAGTGGTCGGGAGAGTCAGGGCAGGCCTGGCAGGCTGGAACGGGGAGTAGAGAACCGCATCGTGTGGTTACTCCCGGGCCAGAGTTCCAGAGGCCCCAGAATGCTCCAGAGGGTGTCGTGAGGGCGCGTGTGCGGCACCTGCTTTGACTGCTGATGTGGATTGTGTTTTTCAGCGGATCTGGCTTCCCAGCGTCATATAATTGTCAGGAGCCCCCGTCACCTCACATTCAGCCTGGGCTCTGCGGCCTCGGGAACCTGGGGAACACCTGCTTCATGAACTCCGCCTTACAGGTAGAGGGAAGAACCTGCCATCCGAATGACAGTCTGGAGGCTTGGGTGGGGGTGGCCTGCTAAGGAGCTGGGTGGATCCTGGCCCCGTGGACCCCCCTTGTCCTGCGGTGGTGCGTCAATGGCCTCGTCCAGGACTCCTCGTGCTGGTTGGCATAAACGGGTCTTACCAGTGCTTGTGATTCCAAAATGTCGCCTTAATCAGCTCTTGGTTTGGTTTTACAGTAAAAATATTTTAAATTTTATTCACCACTAGGGTATGGTTTTCCTAAAAATTATTAGAGTACAGACCAGGGGGATTGAGGCGTGGCCGTGCCCCACGCAGGGGTTTTCTCTCTTTCTCTATCTCTGGCGAGTGCATTTGCCCCCTGGCATCAAAACAACAACCATAACAAAAAGATGCCGCCTTTGGCCACGCCTGAGAGCTTCTTCAAGATCTTGTCTCAAGGGACTGAGCTGCAAGTGGCCATCAGCTTGGTCTTCTTGAGACTGCGTCTTTCGGTCATGAGCCTTCAGGGGACTTGCCAAGTGCTTCTTTTTGTTGGGACCTTAGTGACCATGTCCTTGTGTACTTATTAAACACATGTGTTCATACACACACACATGCACACACACACGTAAATGGTACGAAGCGTGTTCACTCATTAGAGCTGGGTGGAGAAAGCTCTCTGCACGTGGCATGGTCAGACCGCATTCCCTCCTGATTTTTCCGTCCTGTTGGGATTTTGGGTGCGCACACACAGGCCCATCATGTTATTTATTTGTTTATTTTTTAAGAGAGATTTTTGCTACAGGACACATGTGCTTGCCAGAGAAACAGAGAGACAGAAAGCAAGAAGTCACGCCCCAGGGGAATGGCCATACTGCATTCCCTTCTCCTCCATTCTCCTCTTGGAATTTTGGGCATGCGCACACATATATCTGGCGTGAGTGTCAAGCCACCAAGTCTGGGACCTGAACCGCAGTCAGCCATGTGGGAGTCCATGTAATGGTTACATCTAACCATTACACCATCTGCTGGTCCCAATGGACAACATATTTTTTTTAAATTTTTATTTATTTATTTCTGAAACATTTTTAAAAATTTACATTCATTTCCTAAGCATCATCACAACCCCAGCATAAAAAATATGCTTGGAGAGCTTCTAAGCTCTCCGCTGAGATTTGAACCACTGTCAGCCTTGTCAGATTTGGCTCCCTTCACCACTAGGCCACGGGCCAGCCCTCAGTGGCTCTCTAGCTGAACTTGCGTGTCAGTGCTCTCTAGAAGGGGTGTAAGCTCTGACTGCGTTCCGTTTCAGTGCCTGAGCAACACTGCACCCCTGACCGACTACTTTCTCAAGGATGAGTATGAAGCCGAGATCAACAGAGACAACCCCCTGGGGATGAAAGGGGAGATCGCAGAGGCCTACGCGGAGCTCATTAGGCAGATGTGGTCTGGAAGGGAGGCTCACGTGGCACCCCGCATGTTCAAAGTAGGTCGAGACCCGTGCTTCCTTTCTGCCGTTGCGGGACAGTGGCTTGCATTGTGACCAGGCAGTTCCTTGCATTTGGAGATTCAGATGGGATCAGAAGCTAAAAGCACCATGTCCACGCTCCTTCTCGTCTGTCATTCAGTCATTTAGCACATGCTTGTCATGGGTGTCCCCAGTGCGCGCCTCTGCCGGGGCTATCCCGGATGTGAGCTGCACGTTGGTTGCCCAGAATGCTGTTGTCTGGGCTGGCGGTACCGAGGTGGTCGGCGGTTTACTCCCAGGTCCTCGGAGCTGGGCCCTGCCGTCCCCCATGGTTTGAGCAGGGCACCCTCAGCCAGGTGTGGGCCGCATTCTGTGAAGGTGATGTGAGGGCAGTTTTCCCTTGAGTCACTCAGCCAGGATGAGCTGGGAAGGGGGCGAGCGGACGGCACTGGGCACTTGGGACGTCGGCCTCCTAGCACCATCCGAGCCTTTGCTGCCGGGGAGGGACATGCCTGACCCCAGGTGTTGAAATCTGAAAGCTCCCCTTTGGCTGGTACCACTGGGGTTCCAGGAGCCTCCACGAACCACATGATAAGAGAAGCGCGCACATTTCTGATTCCGAGAGGAGCGAAAAGAGCACCTTCACTTCATGAGGAAACCTCAACCTCTGGTGGCTCGAAATCAGAAGCTTCTCTTTTGTCCCCTTGTTGCATGAACCACTGGGAAACACATGCGAGTTACTGTGCACGTACTAAGTCATAGAGGACCCGGAATGCAGTGACGCACACCAGCACTGGGCTCCAGCTGTGCGCAGTGGGACCGGCAGATGGTGTCTAGGGCAGGGGGAGTGGTGTAGAGCTCCCTGGGTGTGGCGGGGCCTGTCTGCCCTGTCTGCCATGGAAGCCACTGGCTCGTGCTTCGAATCCACTGGCTCTTGCCACCGAGCACTTGACATGTGTTAGTGTGACCAAGGAACTGACTTTGGTTGTTGAAGAATTACTTTATTTATTTATTTAAATTTTGACCAGAGAGAGAAAGAACGAGGGGAGAGAGAGAGAAAGCAAACCAAGTCTGGGACTCAAACTGCAGTCAGCCATGTGGGAGTCCAATACCCTTTTTTTTTTTTTAAAGAATTATTTTATTTAACTTTATTTATTATTTTCCAGTTTGATCAGAGAGACACAGAGAGAGAGAAAAAGAGAGAGAGAGGAAGTGAGAAAGCAAGCCACCAGGTCCGAGACTTGAACCGTGGTCGGCCATGTGGGAGTCCAGCGCCTTTAACCACCATGCCACTTACTGGCCCCAGGAATCTAATATCCTTAACCACCACACCACCTGCGGTTTTTGTTTTGTTTTGTTTTGTTTTTGCCATTGGTCACACGCACTCGACAGAGAGACAAAAAGGAAAAGTGAGAGATCACCGCCCCTCCCATGAGGAAGACCAGGGTTCTTCTCCCAGGGTTTTGGGCATACACACACTTGTGCCTGGCATGGTTTCCAAGCCACCGGGTCCAGGGCTTTAACCGTGGTCAGCCATTTGGGAGTCCAGCGCCTTAACCGCCATGCCACCTGCTGGCCCTCAGGAACTGACTTTTAAATTATATTTAATTTTACTTGTTTTCCATTTAAATAGCCATGTGCAGTTAGCATCTCCTGTGCTGGAGGACTCAGGCAGAGCAGCACACTCCAGTTTCAGGGTGCCTCTGCATGTGGGGGCCACACACACTGCTGACCCTTGCCTCCGTGGGTCTGGATAAATGGGGCTGGGGCCGCCTGAGAATGTGCTTTTGCACCGAGCACCTGGTGACGGAGGTGCTGCTGGGGGGGACCACACTCGGGGTCCCTGGTAGACAGCAGTGCTGGGAGTTACTTAGCAACATCAGGGCCGTTATGTAGAGGAAGAACGTTCTAGCTGATACTTGGATCATTTATTAAGTGTTTTGTTTATTTTTTAAAATTTTACCTGAGGGTACATGTGCTCCTAGAGAGGTAGGGAGAAAGCACCCTCCGTGGGGAATGTTCACGTCACAATTCCTTCTCCTCCATTTCTTCTTCCTTTTGGGATTTCTCTTGGCCACCTGGGAAACGTGCTTATGCACCTGGCATATTTTTCAAGCCACCAGATCGTGGTGGCCATGTGGGATCCAGCGCCTTCAGCATCATACCTCAGGTGGGCCCAAGATTTTATTTATTAATTGCCAGGGCGTGCATGCACTTGGAGAAGAGTGAGTGAGCACCCTAATTGGGTGTGGACACACTGCAATCCTTTTTTGTCCATTCCTCTCTCCCATCAGGATCTGGGGCTCACGTGTACAGGTGACCGGCATGTTTCTCAAGCCGCTAGGGCTGGGATTTGAACTGCATTTAGCCAAGCGGGATCTGGCTTCCCCCACACTTGCAAGGAGTAAAGTTTGTTTTGTTTTATTTTTTTGGAGAGGTTTTTGCTATAGGGCGCGTGCGCTTGCCAGAAAGATAGAGAGAGACAGAGAGACAGAAAGAGAGAAATCACCCACCCAGGGGGCATGACCATGCCGCAATCCCTTCTCCTCCATTCTCCTCTCAGGATCTTGGGCATGCAGGCACACATGCCCGGCGTGAGTTTAAGCCATTGGGTCCGGGACTCGAACCGCGGTTGACTACGTGGGAGTCCAGCGACATAGCCATTACTAACTGCTGGTCCCAAGTTTATAAAGTTTGTTTAATTTTTTTTTTTCTTTTTGGAGAGGTTTTTTTCGCTATAGGGCGCGTGCGCTCGCCAGACAGACAGAGAGAGACAGAGAGACAGAAAGCGAGAAATCACCCCCCGGGGGGATGACCATGCCGCAATCCCTTCTCCTCCATTCTCCTCTCGGGATCTTGGGCACGCACGCACATGTGCCCGGCGTGAGTTTTAAGCCACCAGGTCCGGGATGCGAACTGTGGTCCACTACGTGGGAGTCCAGCGACATAGCCATTACGCTAACTGCTGGTTCCCCCAAGTTTATAAAGGTTTTAATGAAGGTTACAACTCCAGACCAAAGAAGGGTGTTGGAAGATTTGTATCAGCCCTTAGGTGTGGTTGGTCAGGTGCCCTGGCCCCTCTGTTAGAGTAGAGTGAGGCCAGCTTCCAGGTCCATCTTCCCGGCCCTCGGACTGGAGCCTTCTGTCTGTGGGATCAGTAGCCGCCTTCAGGATCCTCAGGAGTTAACCAGGCTACTTGACCAGGCAGACTTCCTCACTGTCCCACCTGACTCTGCAAAGCTTTTTTTTTTTTTTAAGTTTATTCATTTATTTCTTCCATGAGAAAGAGATGAAGAGAGGGCCACCCCTGTGGTCTATTGGTTAAGAGAGCCAGAGTCCATGTAGCCAGCCATACAATTTAAATCCTGGCCTTGGTAGCATGAAAACATGCTGAAGGCTTATGCATGCATGTCCCCAGTTCTGACAAGTTTGAGGAATGGCGGAGAAGGAATTGCGGCATGACCATGTCTGACAGGGGCACCCCAAGGAGGTATTTTCTTTTCTTTTTTTTTTTTTTTTTGGAGAGGTTTTTCACTATAGGGCGCATGCGCTCGCCAGAAAGACAGAGAGAGACATAGAGACAGAAAGCGAGAAATCACCCCCCAGGGAGGATGGTCCCGCCGCAATCCCTTCTCTTCCATTCTCCTCTCGGGATCTTGGGCATGTACACACATGCGCCCGGCGTGAGTTTTAAGCCATCAGGTTCAGGACGCAAACCGTGGTCGACTACGTGGGAGGCCAGCGACATATCCATTACGGTAACTGCTGGGTCCCAGGAGGTATTTCCTTTCTCTCTGTGTGTCTCTCTGTGACTCTGGTGAGCACGTATGCCCTCTTGCAGAATTTTTTAAAAAGAGGGAGACAACACCTCCTACAAGGTCTTGGTGACTTAATCCACTCCTAGTCTTCAGCCAATCCCAGATCATGGGCAGGCTGTGTGCACCACCTACTCAAGGAGGTCTCCAGACGGGAACCTGGAACCTTGCCATGGGGGATCGCCTCAGAGCATTGCCTTCCACCCTGTGTTGCCGTCCAGTCCCTCCATAAAGCTATTTTCGATGTCAGTTTCCCACCTGCCTTCACTGTCTCTTGATATATCATGCCTTCTGATGCAGTTGCTTTTGTCGTAGACCCAGGTGGGACGTTTCGCCCCTCAGTTTTCTGGCTACCAGCAGCAAGACTCTCAGGAGCTGTTAGCTTTTCTTCTCGACGGCTTGCACGAAGACCTGAACCGAGTAAAGAAGAAGCCCTATCTGGAGCTGAAGGATGCCAACGGGCGGCCTGATGCGGTATGGCACTGAAGAAGACTGAGCAGTAATGTCCCTGAGGAACTGCCTCTCCTGTGCAGGCAGGGACGTTCTTCTGGCCCTGGGTGCCTCTCACTCTTGCTAGTGACGGTCCTGGACCCTGGTAGAGATGTATTCCAGGTCAAAAAGGGGCTAACTCTGGTCAGGCTGAAAGCTCCTCTTGGGCTTAAGTTAGTCGGCTTGCTCAGTGTGATGGTGACCCGGCGACTAGCACGTTCTGAGGGCCGCGAGCACCTCAGTGTGCACCCTTGGGACTATTGCTCGAAATCCATTCGTTGCCCAGTTAAATAACTTGTTATTGCTATTACCCGGGTATTTATTTTCACTTTGTGGCCTTGGTTTTCAGATGTCTGAAAGGGGAGTTTAGTACCTTGGTTACCCTGTCACAGTGCGACCAGCAACCTGAGTGCTCTAGCGTTAGCGTAGCGTTTAGATCCTAAAGGAAAAACCGCGGGTTAGCTGGGTTGTAGTATCAATGGCTCCACAGAAACATCGTGGGCAGTGCCGCTTGCACCGGTCAGCTCAGTGCCACGGCGTCCTCAGGGCTTGTTTCCTCTCAGAGGATGCAGACTCCTCGTTTCTCAGAGGCTCTGAGAGGGATTGCAGTGAACTGGCGTGTGGCATGCCCATGGTGTGCTCTGAGCAGCCCTGGCTGTACAGATCACCTCCTGGTCCACCTTGGAGTGTGAATGCTCCGAAGCGCAGGGGGAGGGACTGAGAGGTGCCAAGAATGTCCTGTTTATTCTTTCCGCTTTCTTCCAGGTGGTGGCAAAGGAAGCTTGGGAGAATCACAGGCTGAGGAATGATTCTGTGATTGTGGACACTTTCCACGGCCTCTTTAAGTCCACTCTGGTTTGCCCAGAATGTGCTAAGGTCTCTGTGACCTTTGACCCATTCTGTTATCTAACGCTCCCACTACCCCTGAAGAAAGACCGCGTCATGGAGGTCTTCCTGGTTCCTGCTGTCCCTCGCTGCAGACCTACCCAGGT